CTCCCAAAGCAGTTACTCTACTCTGAACTCAAGAATGGAAAATGCAATGTTGGTAGACATGAAAAGAGATTGAAAGATGGGCTCAAAGCCAACTTTAAAAACTCTGGCATAGACACTGAGAACTGGGAAGCCCTGGCCTGTGAGCGCTCCAGCTGGAGGTCAGCTGTGACTAGCAGTGCTGTAGAATTTGAAGAGGCACGAATGGAGCGTGAAAGAGAGAAATGTGCCAAGAGGAAGGCGCATCATGCCAACTCTATCCAGGATCGCCTTCCACCTGGAAACCAATGCCCTCACTGCAGGAGAAGATGCAGGTCAAGAACAGAGCTCCACAGTCACCTATTACACTGATATTGGAAGACAATCCTACTCGGACAACGAGGGATCGCCTAAGAAGAAGTCAAACTGCATTAATCCTTCAGTATAGATGCACCCGGAGTCAAAATGAATGCATGTTAGCCATAATGGTTTACCATAGCAGAGAAGAATATATGGACTCCCTGCTATCCATCGTTGCCATAGGACTATACTGGGATGCCAGACATTGTGATCTCTCCAAGCTCTCCAGCACAAGGCACGTTCTTCTGAGATGATAACCCAATGCAAGTCTATTAATGGGTGATTGGCTTGCCTCCCTCTTTATGGCACCCCAAAGAAACAAGGGAAGGCTTTCAAGGAGCTCAACTGAGGGTTTCTCCCATTCCTTTGGCACCATTTATGGGGCACTCCCTGCTTTTGGCTTGGTAAGACTCTGCTAATTTATTTTTGCCGCAACCCACCGTCAGATTCGCCTTCAGAAAGACGAAGCAGCAGATGGTGGTTGCTAAGCAAATACAATTCAAACAAAACAAAAGAATTGTTTTACACCCGACGATGAGGACTGCGCCGTCCTTTGGGCCTGGGCGAAAGGCAACAGATTGCATCATTTTTGTTTCCTAGCCTCACCGCCACCCAGAAATCGGCAGCATTAATGGTCCCAACGGGTTCAGAATCACGACTTGTCATTAACCAGCCCACGAAAAGGGGGAGCTTTGTTGGCACGCAAAGAATAAATCCATCTTTTGCAAAAGAACATAACAAGCCAAGCATCCCTTGGTGTCCTCAGGTGGAAGGAGAGGGGTTTCAAACCATCTGCAATGCAATGGCACTATGGCAACAAATGGAAAGGGAACGAGGGAGGACAGCACAAAGCCCTGGTGTACTTTGTGGGGGGGAACGTGGCACACGCGGAGCAGAGGCTGGGACCCAAACCAGGACCCAAATGCACCCCCATTTACTTGAACGGCACATATTGGTTAGCTGGTATTGCATCCAGAATTGGAAGGGAGAGCTTTTGCACAATTTCAGGTTTCAGCGGTGGCCGGGAGAGCTTTTGCACAATTAAAACTCGTGCGCCAGCTGCGCCCGTTCCTTGGGAAGTCTGATCTGGCTACAGTGGTCCACGCCCTTGTTACATCCCGAATAGATTACTGCAACGCACTCTACGTGGGGTTGCCTTTGAAGACTGTTCGGAAACTTCAACTAGTCCAACAGGCGGCAGCCTGATTAATCACCGGAGCGTCATACAAGGAGCACACCACTCCTCTGCTACGTCAGCTCCACTGGCTGTCGATCCAGTTCCGAGCACAATTCAAAGTGCTGGTTTTGACCTTTAAAACCCTTTACGGCACCGGCCCAGTGTACTTGTCCAAACGTATCTCCTTCTATGTCCCACCAGATCTTCTGGGGAGGCCCTGCTCTCGGCCCCACCTTTGTCACAAGTGAGGCTGGTGGGGACGAGAGACAGGGCCTTCTCAGTGGTGGCCCCTTGGCTGTGGAATTCACTCCCCGGGGAAATTAGGTTGTCAACATCCCTCCTCTCCTTCAGGAGAAAGCTGAAGACATGGATATGGGACCAGGCATTTGGGTAGTCTGGCAGGGTAACATGGTAATGATGACTAGAGTTGGAAAGGACTATGGCAATGCTAAACGGATTGACGGATTTTAGAACACGATGAACGCAGACTATAGAGCGGTTTTAGTTGATATTGTATTGTGTTATATTGTACTGTATTAATTGTCTGTTTTTAATCTATTGTGTTATTGCTATTGCATTTTATTGTAATTGTAGGCATCGAATTGTGCCGGATGTAAGCCGCCTTGAGTCCCCCCTAGGGGGTGAGAAAGGCGGGGTAGAAATGACCGAAATAAATAAATAAATAAATAAGGGACCCCAAGGGCCATCCAGTCTAATCCCCGTCTGCTATTGTTGCTATTCTCTGGACACGTTCCACCTTGTCTATATCCATCCTAAATCATGGTGACCAGAATGGGACAAAATATTGCTCCAAGTGAGGTCTGACAAAAGCAGAACAGAGCGAGACTATAAATTCCCTGTTCTAGCCCTGAGGTGTTGCCTTGCCTTAACTCTTTGAGTCTCTCTTGTTAGTATTCTAGGTGTCTAGCAATACATTGGATGGGTAACAGTAGGAGATTCCGTATTATCCGGCATTTTTGTTTATCCGACAGTCTGCTAACCAGTTTATGCTGGATAAGCGAGAATCTTTGAATGTGTTTATTTTGATTTAATTGTCTGTATGGTTTTCTTTCTGGCAATTGTTTGCCTTATATGTTGGAAACTGTCCTGAGTCACTTTGGGGAGATAGGGCGGTATACAAATAAAGTATTATTATCATAACAGTAAATAAAGTCCAACACTCTGAAAACAGGGGAATTCCAGGCAAGAAACAATCAGGGCCAGCTAACACCTCCCAACAAAGGATCCCCTAGGCAGGAAGCTGCACGGCCATTCAGTGCTAATCAAGATGGTCAGTGGCAACATTCACACTTGCCTCCAACAAAAAAGAGTTTTTTCCCACCTTGGACGTTATTCCACAGATATATAAACCTTAACTTGTCTAGTTCTCCCAACCCTACTATATGCCTGCGAAACGTGGACTGTCTACAGACGTCACATGCAACTCCTGGAACGATTCCATCAGCGCTGCCTCCGGAAAATCCTGCAAATCTCTTGGGAAGACAGACGGACAAACGTCAGTGTGCTGGAAGAAGCAAAGACCACCAGCATTGAAGCGATGGTCCTCCAACATCAACTCCGCTGGGCCGGCCACGTTGTCCGGATGCCTGACCACCGTCTCCCAAAGCAGTTGCTCTACTCCGAACTTAAGAACGGAAAACGGAACGTGGGTGGACAGGAAAAGAGATTTAAAGATGGGCTCAAAGCCAACCTTAAAAACTCTGGCATAGACACTGAGAACTGGGAAGCCCTGGCCCTTGAGCGCTCCAGCTGGAGGTCAGCTGTGACCAGCAGTGCTGCAGAATTCGAGGAGGCACGAGTGGAGGGTGAAAAAGAGAAACGTGCCAGGAGGAAGGCGCGTCAAGCCAACCCCGACCGGGACCGCCTTCCACCTGGAAACCAATGCCTTCACTGTGGGAGAAGATGCGGGTCAAGAATAGGGCTCCACAGCCACCTACGAATCCACAAGGAAACCCATCATGGAAGACCATCTTACTCGTCCAACGAGGGATCGCCTAAGTAAGTTTCCAACAGACCTCAACCTCTGAGGATGCCTGCCATAGATGTGGGTGAAACGTCAGGAGAGAATGCTTCTGGAACGTGGCCAGACAGCCTGGAAAACTGACAGCAACCCAACTTATTGACAGTCAGAGCTGTTCAAGAGTGGAATATTAACCCATAGTGCCACGGGGGGCAATTATATGCTTAATAATTCTAAAGCACCGGAGGCAAGATTCAAACGCCTCCTAAAGCCAGTTTACTCCAGGCAAGATTCAAAGGCTGTTGGACGGCAAATGGAGCAGAAATGGGCCACATTGATTTTTGCCAGCGGGGAGCTCAGCGCCGTTTCTGATCCGGACTCGGTATCGACTGCGCTGCCCTTGTAAGAGCACAAAACGTGCCGCTGAGCCCCGAATCCGGCTTCCTCCGAACCCTTAGGTTTCCCTATTGTACCTTCAAGTGCCTCTCGGGGCTGGATTGTTTTCTGCCACAACGATTTCAAGGTGGAAAACAAGCCGCGTTGTAAAATCAATACAAAGAAAGGGGAAATCGATTTGGTTTGTTAGCTGGGGAGAGCCATTCAGATTACCAATGTGCTTTGCTCCCTTTTCGTTGTCTTCATCACAGTTATTGTTGTGATGGTTTTTGTTTTACTGTCAGTTCAGCTCCGCTTGCAATTTGGTTTTCGCGAAGGATTATTGGAATTATATGCACGATATAGGACGGGCAACACTTGGCTTGAACGCAGTCCATATGAAAGGGATCCAGGAGTCTTAGCAGACCACAAACTGAACATGAGCCAACAGTGTGATGATGATGATGATAATAATAATAATAATAATAATAATAATAATAATAATATAACAATATAACAATATAATGATAAGAGGGAAGCAACTGGAAATGCTGACACGATATGAGGATTTAAAGATCGAACTGCAAAGACTCTGGCACAAGCCAGTAAAGGTGGTCCCAGTGGTGATCAGCACACTGGGTGCAGTGCCTAAAGACCTTGGCCTGCACTTAAACACAATTGGCACTGACAAAATTACCATCTGCCAGCTGCAGAAGGCCACCTTACTGGGATCTGCACGCATTATTCACCGATACATTACACAATACCCACTTTCCTAGTTTCCAACAGTCCTCAAAATCTCTGAGGATGCCTGTCATAGATGTGGGCAAAACGTCAGTAGGGAATGCTTCTGGAACATGGCCAGACAGCCTGGGAAACTCACAGCAACCCAATATTTACTCTGTTTTTATCCCACTTTTCTATTCACAGAAGAAAAGACAAGGCGAAGTTCTAAATGTATTTGGACCCCTGCGATTGGATTTGAAGCGATCACCTTGAGGAGGGATTTTAAAAAATCTTCTAAAAAGCCATAAAGATATTGTCTGCGGACGAAAGACATGTGTGTCTTTAGATGTGACCAGGAAAAAAAGGATTTGAAAAGGAGGTAAAGAAAGAGGGTTTGTCACTTACCACACAGCGCAATGACGTGGCTGCTGTCTTCGTGGACAAACTTCCGCGTGACGGCTTCTTCCATGATTTGCTTCACCTAGAAGGAGAAAGACCCTTTAGATGAGTTGGACTACCATTCCCATCATCCGCAAACCAAGACCGTTTAGGTGACAGACCCTCCAGACGTTTGGGTGACTACCTGAAGGGTCAATCTGATTGGGAATGACTGGAGTTGTAGCACATGGTATCACATGTCATCCAATAACAGGCAATGCTACCTTAGTTATCAGAACAAGAGTGCATCTACACTGCAGAATTAATGCAGTTTGATACCACTTTGCCATGGCTCAGTGCTGTGAAATCAAACAAGTTGTAGCTCGGGGAGGCACCAACCCTCTTTGGAAACGATGGCTAAAGCCCTCCCCAAACTACAACTCCTAGGATGCTTTAGCAGTGTGTTTCTCAACCTAGGGGTCGGGACCCCTGGGAGGGTTGCCAAAGACCATCAGAATATACAATGTTTTCCGTTAGTCATGGGGGTTCTGTGTGGGAAGTTTGGCCCAATTCTTTCGCTAGTGGAGTTCAGAATGCTCTTTGATTGTAAGTGAATTATAAATCCCAGCAACTACAATTCCCAAACGTCAAGGTCTATTTTCTCCAAACTCCACCAGAGTTCACATTTGAACATACTGAGTGTTCATGCCAAATTTGGTCCAGATCAATCATTGTTTGAGTCCACAGTGCTCTCTGGACATAGGTGAACTACAACTCCCAAAACCAAGGTCAATGCCCACCAAACCCTTCCAGTATTTTCTATTGGTCATGGGAGTGCTATGTGCCAAGTCTGGCCCAATTCCATTAGTCGATGGAGTTCAGAATGCTCTTTGATTGTAGGTGAGCTATAAATCCCAGCAACTACAACTCCCAAAGGACAAAATCAAGGTCAATGCCCACCAAACCCTTCCAGTATTTTCTGTTGGTCATGGGAATTCTGTGTGGCAAGTTTGGCCCAATTCTATTGTTGGTGGAGTTCAGAATGCTCCCTGATTGTAGGTGAACTATAAATCCCAGCAACTACAATTCTCAAATGTCAAGGTCTATTTTCCCCAAACTCCACCAGTGTTCACATTTGGGAATATTGAGTATCCATGCCAAGTTTGGTCCAGATCCATCATTGTTTGAGCCCACAGTGCTCTCTGGATATAGGCGAACTACAACTCCCAAACTCAAGGTCAATGCCCACCAAACCCTTCCAGTATTTTCTGTTGGTCATGGGAGTTCTGTGTGCCTAGTTTGGCCCAATTCTATTGTTGGTGGAGTTCAGAATGCTCTTTGATTGTAGGTGAATTATAAATCCCAATGACTACAATTCCCAAAGGCCTGGTGTGAGAAGCTTTGGTGAGAGAAGCCCCAGGTTGAAGGCTGTCGGATGTGAAGCTTCAGTGTGAAGGCTGAATGCAATTTTCCTGCTTCTTGGAAGGGGGTGGGACTGGATGGCCCTTGGGGGTCTCTTCCAACTCTAGGATTCTAGGATACTTGGAACCTCTTGCCACATGATGCGACCATCTGCCGCCTTTATTTCCCTGCCCTCGGTCCCACCTGTTCCTCTCTGAACTTGGCTTGCTCCCAGTGCGTAAAACCCAGACCGTTTGGTGATTCTCCTGCCAAAACAAACAGCGCACTCTTGTCGGAGCGATCAGCCAGGGAGACGCCCTGTTGGGTCAACAAGGCGGCACTGGTGGCGCTGGAGAGATGCTTCCCTGTGGCCCAGTTTCCATCCACAATTGCTTCCAATTGGCCAACCTCGAACGGGGAGGCGGAAGCCTTTGAAATGCCACGGCAAGGCTGCTTAATCATAACAAGGCTTTATTTATATTCTGCTCTATCTCCCTGAGGGGAGTCCGAGCGGATTACAACATACACCGATAGGCAAACATTCAATGTCTAACAATGACACACAAATACACAAATGCTCCCTGATTGTAGGTGAACTATAAATCCCAGCAAAGGTTAAGGCTTCCCCTTTCATTTCCGGTTTTCTGGAGGCAGTGCTCAACTCTGGCCATAGGGAGGTGCTCTTGCTCCATTTCCAAGCCGAGGAGACTGTTGTCCATAGACACCTCCTTGGTTGTGTTGCCTGCATGGCTGCATGGCCACCTTTGTTACTTTCCCGCTGAAGACCTGTTGATCTACTCACACTAGGTTGGCAGGAGCTAGGGCTAACAGCAGGAGCTCACCCTGACCCGCAGTTTTGAACCTCCAACCTTTAGGTCAGCAGATTCAACAGTTCAGAAGTTTAATCTTTTGTTATCTTCCTACTGAAGCGGTACCTATTGATCTACTCGCATTTGCATGTTTTCGAACTGCTAGGTTGGCAGGAGCTAGGGCTAACAGCGGGAGCTCACCCTGACCCACAGCTTCAAACCTCCAACCTTTAGGTCAGCAGATTCAACAGCTCAGCAGTTTAATCCTTTGTTGTCTTCCTGCTGAAGCGGTACCTGTTAAACTACTCACATTTGCATGTTTTCGAATTGCTAGGTTGGCAGGAGCTAGGGCTAACAGCAAGAGTGCAACCTGACCCGCAAATTCGAACCTCCAACCTTTAGGTCAGCTGATTCAACAGTTCAGCAGTTTAATCCTTTGTTACCTTCCCGCTGAAGCGGTACCTGTTGATCTACTCACATTTGCATGTTTTCAAACTGCTAGGTTGGCAGGAGCTAGGGCTAACAGCGGGAGCTCACCCTGACCCGCAGCTTCGAACCTCCAACCTTTAGGTCAGCAGATTCAACAGTTCAGCAGTGTAATCCATTGCACCACAATGGCCCCCTTGCTGAGAATAATTCGTAAACTTTTTTTTTGTCGTTTCAGAACTACAAGTCACTTTTGCAAGGAGCCCCTGGTTAAACCCCCATGCCAGCAGGACTGAAGACCAACAGGTCGCAGGTTCGAATCCAGGAAGAATGCAGATGATGGGACACAAGAGAAGCCTCCCACAAGGATGGTAACGCATCAAAAAACATCCGGGCGTCCCCTCGGCAACGTCCTTGCAGACGGCCAATTCTCTCACACCGTTCCAACCTAAAAAGTATTTGGATGCTTTGCTCTCAAGCTTTAATTAAAAAACCCAATGTGAATCTGGTCTGCATCTAGTGTCCAAATCAAGCATTTTATTGTGACTGGTCCCCTGGAATAGCACTGTGTCCTCTACTGGGCACCACAAGTCAAGCATTAAATGCACAGATATACGGGCTGGGTGACATATGGCGGAAGAACTCTACATATTATAATGGATCTACGAAGGACGTTCAATAAAGATTTCCTGTGGACTGAGAGCAATGAAACTTGGTCCAGTTCTGAGTCCTTCTCTCCATGGGTGCCACCTCGGGACACACACTTTTCCCATCTTTTGAAGCAACTGGAAACACCTCGCTTGTAGAAGTCGGCAGGTTGCTCCCAAAGCCATGTTGTGACTTCAGAAATCAGAGCCTTGTCACCTAAAAAGTCTTGCCCTTCAAAAATAATTTTGTTGTTGGAAAGAGGTGGAAGTCCAATGGTGTGAGGTTGGGGGAATAAGGAGAATGCGGTCGAATTTCGAAGCTACCGGAGTATGCTTCCATTTGGGTAACAGGTGAGTTATGAATATGTGCGTTGTCTTGCAGAAAGTGGACACTTTTGGTGAGCATGCCACATTGTCTCTTGGTTTGGATGGCCTCTCGCAATATCCGCAGCAATGAAGCCTAGTCTGCCCCAGTGATCATGGTCCCCTTTGCTAGGAAATCCATCTGTACCACTCTGTGCTGGTCCCCAAATACTGTGAGCATAACCTTGTCTGCTAAGTGTTGGGCACATTTATTTATTTACTACATTTATATACCATCCCTCTTAGCCCAGGGGCAACTTGGAGCAGATGCTTCCATGGCATCGACTGGACTTGAGTCTCAGGATCAGAGTGATGGACTCAGCTTTCACCCTGTATGATCAGCCTGTTGAAAAAGTCCTCCTGGTTTCCATGACACAACAATGTCAAGAGGAGACTGAGAGCATCTGACTCATTCCTGCTTTTGGAAAAGTGTGAGCAGCCGGGGGACCCAGCAAGTGGAGACCCCTCGCCTGCCCCGTGCCCTCACCGATGGCAAGAACGCGAGGCAGGCTTTGTGCGAGGCCAGGCCTCATGCGGAGGGCCTTCGCTGATGGCGAGAACGCAAAGCAGGTGAGGCGGGCTTTGCGCGAGGCCAGGCCTCGCACAGAGGACCCCTCACCTGGCCCGAGCCCTTGGGGCAGGGCCAACGGAGGCGGCCTCACGACCCCTCCGAAATGGCCAGGTGACCCCCCTGGGGGTCGCGAGCCCCAGGTTGAGAACTGCTGGCATATGAGGCGGTTACCAGCTGCACTCAATGCAACCAAGGGAGGGCATGACACTAGTGGGGAGAATGGGTGGGGTTGTGTGAATTCTCAGATTATCACTCAAAGAAATATAATTACAGGTAAGCAACTTGTCCTTCTTCTTCTTAGTGCTTGTGAATCACACAACTGGGTGACTAGCAAGCTATAATGAGAGGTGATGGGAGCCATGACACACTACACACCTGAGTAAAAAACTAGAAATTTTAATGAAATGTCACCAAGTAAGACATGAGAATGTTAGCCATACGTGAAGAATAAACTTTAACAAATTCTCAGAGGAATACAGAGTGGCAGCAAATTTAAAGTGTAACAGATACGACCTAAAACATTGGCCATGCATGAACTTTAGTAAATTCACTGTGGAAAATGGTTCCGGCCCAGTTTACTTGTCCGAACACATCTCTCCCTAGGCGCTTAAGATGGTCTGGAAAGGCCCTGCTCTCAGTCCCACTCCCTTCGCAGACACAATCGGCGGGGATGAGACAGGGTCTTCTCAGCAGTGGCCCCTCAGCTATGGAACGCACTTTCTAGGGATATTAGATCGGCCCCCTCCCTCCTAACATTTCGAAAGAGAGTCAAAACCTGGCTGCTTGAGCAGGCATTTGCAGACGCAGTGCAACAGACTGAGATCCACGGAACAATTGGACAATGCGACGGAAAAATGATTTTAGTGATGAGACGCTGAGGACTTGT